ACATTCTGGTGGCAGAGTCAGATGAGAAATACGCAGGCTAGAGTCCAGTCTTTCTATCAGAACCACTATCTTCACTGGAACACTGCTTTCCCAGGTGCCTCCCCACCCCTAATCCCAACTCGAGAACCATCCTTCAGGGACAGACAAGACTGGCTGCAGAACTGGCTTCCCCAGAGCTGGAAGGGTACAACTGGAAAAAAAATCTCAGTCTCTGCTAAACCAGAAACCTGGCATCACCTTTGACCTCTCCTTCTCCCTCTCCCACTCTCCCGACATCTAGGCTGCCCTCCATCTGTGTCCCTTCCCGCCCAGCACTCATCCCCTGTGCCACTGTCCACACTCTCACCATTGTCATCTCTTGCCTAGGTTTCAGCAACAGCCTCCTCACCTTTATCCCCTTTGAGTCCAACTCCCACAGTGTAGCCACACCTCCAAAGAGTAGTTCACACGCAATCGTGCCACTCTGGAGCTCCATACCCATCAGGGCTCCCAGGAGATGATTTCGCCCCCAGGAGAAAGCCTACACTCCTCAGCACCGTCCTGCATATCAGAGCCAGGCTCATTTCTCTGACATCACCTCATCTGGGGAAACTTACATATGGTAAAACCTTCAGCCATATTGAACTCTTGGAACTCACCATCTTTCTCTCATCCCTAAGCCTTTGCACGTACAAATCCTTCTGTCTAGAATAGGCCCTCTGCCCCTCCTTCATCTGACTAAGCCCAACTCATCTTTGAACTCTCAGCTTAAAGGTTGCTTCTTCCAGAAAGCCATCCCTGGCTCTCCAAGTCCTGATGGGGTTCCCTCCTGGGAACTCCCACGGCTGCCAGCCTTCCAGTATCATGGTGCTATGTCAGATCTGCCTGTTGGCTTGTCTGCCTTCCCTAGTACACTGTGAGCTTCTTGAAATCTTTTGTTTATTGTGCCTGAAACATGGAAGACAGGCTTGGTCATTTCATCCATGTGCAATGACCACACGGCCCATGCTCTGCATCAAGACCCACAGTGGGGAGGGTCCTACTCAGCTGTGTTGGGGACAACCCTTGACTCCTGTTGCTGGGTCTGGAGATAGTGAGGAAGGAGAAGCTGCCTCCCTCTTCATTTCTGACACAACACCCTATATGTGGGAACCTCCCTTCTTCCCTCTCCCCCACAGCTCCATAGAGCACCCCCCTTTACAAAGCATGACCGCCTTTGCTAAAGAACATCCTACATACCCTTAATCCCAAGAAACCTCCTTCATCCTGCTGAACCGACTCTACTTCTTAGGAGGCAGAAGGAAGAGTTATTGTTTTGTGTTTTTCTCAATACCCAGAAAGGAATCCACATCAGATTCTGCCCTGAGATCCATTTTTTCCCACGTGAACCCCATCTGGGGCCCTCCAAAGGGGATTGGGCCTCGTCCTAACCAGCTGCTAGCCCTGGTAAAACAACAGCCACTTCTTTCAGCCCACATTAGTGTCAGTGGCCAACCAGCCCATGTCCCAATGGGAGGCGACTCTCCACAAAGCTCTCTTTCTCTCGCCACGTTTGCATTATATAGAATTCCCAGGGAGAGACCTGGGTCTGGCTTCTTGACCAAGGCCAAGGGGCTCCCCAGACCCCACCCAGTTTCCCAACGTGGGAACCACCCTAGCTGGCTGCCTCCCCAGCTCACAGGCTGCAGGGAGAAAGAAAGGGCTGCTGAGAGTGACTCTGGGTTCCCACGCAGGAAGGTGCCAGCTCAAGACAGCGTGGCTTTGTGCTTGGGAGAGTCTGTCTTCTCACCAGGCAGAGGGACATAGCAGCCTGTGGAAAGATCAGAGAGATAGCAAAGGATGGCAGGGCCGTCCCTGCCCCAAGCAACAGGAACACTGGAAGCACACACCTGCCTACGGGGAGAAGACGCCTGACCCGAAACTTAGCGCTGAGATTTCTCCAAGACTATCCATTTCTCTCCAGCCTCACCCATCAGTTTCTTTATGTTGGTGACTGTTCACTGAGAAAACAGCTCCAAACCAAAACATACCATGCATCTTAATTTTATTCCTCATCTACATATGTTTATTTTATTTCATTTTTTGCCAGATAGTCTTATGTTTGGATTTTATTTTTACATGTATTTAAAGATGGATCAGTACTGTAGAGATGGACCCAAGGATGGGCAAGACATTGTATATTAATAGGGCTATGCAGACCTTTTTTCATAAGTGCAGCTCCCTGGGAGTCTACAGATGTTCTCTATCTTCCATCACTAGTGAAAGGACACATCCCGCTGCTGGCCATGATGGATAGGGGAGGAAGAGCAAGGGAGGGTAGAAAGTCTCCCGTGGTTGTTTGGACCCTCTTCATTATGACTTTTCTCTGTATCAACTGCTGCTCTCCAGAATTTAGGGCTCAAAGCCTTGGACAGTTCCCAATTTGAACGGAACCACCGATGCTGAGAACTTGTGAGGGACACTTGAGATCATCCAATCCAGCAAGCTCTGGAGAACAAATGTGACTCTGCATATGCTAAATGTGTGTGTGCACCTTTGTGAGAGCATGTGTGTGTGCACCTATGTGAGAGCGTGTGTGTGTGCACCTGTGTGAGAGTGTGTGTGTGTACCTGTGTGAGAGCATGTGTGTGCACCTGTGTGAGAGCATGTGTGTGTGTGCACCTGTGTGAGAGCATGTGTGTGCACCTGAGTGTGTGTGTGCACCTGTGTAAGAGCATGTGTGTGCACCTGTGTGAGAGTGTGTGTGTGCGCACCTGTGTAAGATCATGTGTACCTGTGTGAGAGCATGTGTGTGTGGGTGCACCTGTGTGAGAGCTTGTGCGTGTATGTGAACCTCCGTGAGAATGTATGTGTGTGTACCTGTGTGAGAACATGTGTGTGTGCACCTGTGTGAGAGCATGTGTGTGTGTGCACTTGTGTAAGATCATGTGTGTGCACCTGTGTGAGAGCGTGTGTGTGTGTGCACCTGTGTGAGATCATGTGTACCTGTGTGACAGCATGTGTGTGCACCTGTGTGAGAGCTTGTGCGTGTGTGTGAACCTCCGTGAGAGCGTATGTACCTGTGTGAGAACATGTGTGTGTGTGTGCACCTGTGTGAGAGCATATGTGTGTGTGTACACCTGTGTGAGACCGTGTGTGTGCACCTGTGTGAGTGTGTGTGTGCACCTGTGTGAGAGCATGTGTGTATGTGTGCACCTGTGTGAGAGCGTGTGTGTGTGCACCTCTGTGAGAGCATATGTGTGTGTGTACCTGTGTGAGACAGTGTGTGTGCACCTGTGTGAGAGCGTATATGTGTGTGCACCTGAGTGAAAGTGTGTGTGTGCACCTGTGTGAGAGTGTGTGTGTGCACGCCTGTGTGAGAGCATGTGTGTGTGCACCTCTGTGACAGCATATGTGTGTGTGCACCTGTGTGAGAGCATGTGTGTGCACACCTGTGTGAGAACGTGTGTGTGCACGCACCTGTGTGAGAGCGTGTGTGTGTGCGCACCTGTGTGAGAGCGTGTGTGTGTAAGTGTGGGTATGCCCGTGTGTGAGGGAGGGTGTGTTTATAGGCGGGTGTGTGTGTATGTGAGATGAATGTGAGAGGATGCCGATGAATGTGGAAGACTGCAGGTGAGTATGAGGAAGTAAGAGTGAGTGTGGATGTGGATGGGTGTATGTGACAGGAAGTGTGTGAATGTGTGCGTGTCTGTGAGCATGGGTGGGAGTGTAAGTGTGTAAGAGTGCACATGAATGTGTGTATGAAAGTGGGCGAGTTTGTAGAGAATGGAAAGATCTAGTGAAGATCCCTAGCACCCTAACCCGTGCCCCTGCAAAACCTCTGTGAACTAAAAAATGCTTTGAAAACAACTGAGCTAATTCAAGCTGATTTAACATCATCACTTGACAAATGTGTAAACTGAAACCCACTGAAGAAAGAGATGTGCCAAATAGCCTTATGGGGCCAGGGCTAGAATCCGGGTCTCTTGACTTCCACCGGGTCCACCACACTTTGCTCCGTTGTCAATAGAATTGTTCTCACTATTCCTGAACACCGTAGTGGTCACCTAGGAGTGTGCTGTCAGCGCTGTCTTTTTAGGAAGCCCATCCCCCCATGCCCTCCTACTTACCACGTCCCACACTTACCTCATTACTCCAGACATTCATCTCATCACTTACGATAAAAGTAACACATGCTCATTATATACAATCCACATAGCCACATTCTACAAGAACAGTTCTTTTGCACAGTATGCTTCCTGGCAATGACTGATAGGTCTCTAGGGAGAGCAGCTGAACCAAGATTGGCCAGTTAGAGCTCTTCCCTGAGAGCCCTCACAACAGAGTGAAGAAAGGGAGTCATCCCTCTCCAATGGCTAATGCTGTAAGATAACAAAACTCACCTTGTGGAAGAAGCCACAAAGCCACCATGATGAAGACTGAATCCAAACGATAGAGACATAGGGTTAAGAGACACAGAGAATGATGGTTTCCAGCTGCATCCATGTCCCTACAAAGGACATGAACTCATCTTTTTTTATGGCTGTATAGTATTCCGTGGTGTATATGTGCCACATTTTCTTAATCCAGTCTGTCATTGATGGACATTTGGGTTGGTTCCAAGTCTTTGCTATTGTGAATAGTGCTGCAATAAACTTACGTGTGCGTGTGTCTTTATAGCAGCATGATTTATAATCCTTTGGCAGCAAACTATCGCAAAAACAGAAAACCAAACACCGCATGTTCTCACTCATAGGTGGGAATTGAACAATGAGATCACTTGGCCACAGTAAGGGGAACATCACACACCGGGGCCTGTTGTGGAGTGGGGGGAGGGGGGAGGGATAGCATTAGGAGATATACCTAATGTAAATGACGAATTAATGGGTGCAGCACACCAACATGGCACATGTATACATATGTAACAAACCTGCACGTTGTGCACATGTACCCTAGACCATAAAGTATAATTAAAAAAAGAAAAAAAAAAGAAACACAGAGGATCCCTCTTTCCAGCTTTTTTGCTGTAGCTTGAATGTTTAATCCTGTCTCTGTTTTGTGCTTACATCAATTAATTAAGCAGGATCTCTTCCCCCTATAGCCTAAAGCCAAAATATACCAGTGTAATCAGATCCCCTCAGACTTTTTTGCATCCACTCCTCAAATCTGTATTCTCCTTTCTATGCAATGTATTTTACTATGATATAAAAATCAATGCATGTGAGGGAGATATATCTAGTTCTAATTTCTATATTGGGAACAAGAGAATTTAGAAGCATATATGTTAGGGGAAAAGATGGAAATAAAACAAATCTTATTACCAATTCTGAAATCTTTCCAAGAAGCCATGATGAGGTATATTAATTGGTATAAATAACAGAGTCCCAAAATAACATTCCTTAAATATGATAGAAGTTTAATTTTCTTGTGCAGTGAAGTCCAGAAGTAAGCAGTCTGGAGCTCGTATAATGACACTGTTTCATGAAGACCTCAGGGAGTCAAGTTCCTTCTAGCTTGTTGCTTCCATTGCATTCTCAGTTTTCTTATCTGAAAAGTACAGATGTTGCTATACCTGCCTCATGGCCCAAGATGGCTGCCCTATCCTGCCATCCTATTTGCATTTCACCCAACAGGAATAAAAAAAAGGATGAAGAAGAAGGGAGAGAATGTCTCAGCTCCCCCTTAAGGAAGTCTCCCAGAAGTTGTCGGATGACACTTCCACTTAAATCTTACTCACCGGAACGTAATCATATGGCCACAACTAATTTGAAAACAGTCTGGAAAATATAGCTTTGATTCTGGACAACCATGTATAAAACTACAAATTAGGAGTTCTTTAACCTTGGAACAAGGGAGAATGGGCATTAGAGAACAACAGGCCCACCATTACTGTCACTGTTATGCCGTCTTCTTTTACAGGTTCTGCCATCTTTCTAGTGGTTACTCCAACTGTGGCAAATGAGAGCCCTTCTCTTTTCTCTGATGCCTAATTTGCATACACCAGTGTTTATGACTCCAAACTAGAGAAACTAGTGTGTAGAGCAGGAGAGAATATAATGAATCTCACTTGGAGGTTGGGACCAAAGGGATCTGTTGGAGAATTCAGGAACAGATCATGTGGTTCCATTTTTCTCTTCCCCAAACATTTTTGGCTCTAATCCTCACCAACCTGATGGCCCGTAAGGAATGACAAGCTAGAAATCTCCCTCAACACACACCTCCCATCCCTATTTTATCAGAGAAAAATATCTCCTGACAGGACATAAGAGCAAGTCTGATTCATTCAGCATAATTTTTGGAGGCAGTAAAGGGTGTAGTTAAAGGACTAGCCCTCGAGTCTAAGAACCCGGTTTCAAATCCCAGATCTACAAGCCTGGGGAAATTACTTAGTCTATGACTCAGTTTCCTTATCTGCAAAATATAGATTTGCATACCTGCCTCATAGGATTTCTGAGAAATTATAAAAGGTAACCTAAGTCAGGCACATAATAGTAAGAGCTTAATAAATGTCAACTGTTTTTATTAAGCGTCTCCTTTGTTCCAGGGCCCTGCTAAGAATGTAGCAAATGCAAGGGTGAGTTTGTGAAGTCTTGTGGCTCCTAGAACACAGGGCACCATGAGCCTGGGCCCACTCTGGATGCTAAGGGGAATTTCAGCAGCAGCATCTGAACACTGGGGCCTTTCATGGGGCAGATGGCAGGTCCTGGAGTGCACAGGGACAATGTGAAGCTAAAAGCCAACCTCTCCTCCTTCTCCTTGCCCTCATCCCCAAATAGAGTCACCGGAAGAATTTTTGTGTACCATGCACTACATTTGGGTAGCCCTAATTCCATGCTGTTTGTCCCTTTCCATCAGTTCTGTAAGGGTTTTGCTGGCTCCTTGAAATACACTGCAGCTTCCAACAACAACAACAAAGGAAGAAGGGAAGGCAAGAGGGGAGGAGGGAGGAGGAAGGAAGAGGGGAAGGAGAAGGAGAAAGGAAGGAAAGGAGTGAAGGGAGGAGGGAGGGGGGAAATGAGGGAACAGAGGAGAAACAAAACCAATTGTCATTTTCACTGAGAAGTTAAACAATGTTAACAATTTCTCATCCACAGTGTCTTTATAACACTTCCAAACAATTGATTACTTTTAAAGTAAAACCTAATTTACACTCTTCGTGTATACTGTCTTTTCTTTTTTTTTTTTTTTTTTTTTGTGGAGACAGAATCTCGCTCTGTCGCCCGGGCTGGAGTGCAGTAGCGCGATCTGGGCTCACTGCAAGCTCCACCTCCCGGGTTCACGCCATTCTCCTGCCTCAGCCTCCCGAGTAGCTGGGACTACGGGCGGCTGCCACCACTCCTGACTAATTTTTTGTGTATTTTTAGTAGAGACGGGGTTTCACTGTGTTAGCCAGGATGGTCTCGATCTCCTGACTTCGTGAGCCGCCCGTCTCGGCCTCCCAAAGTGCTGGAATTACAGGCATGAGCCACCACGCCCAGCCTCTTTGTGTATACTTTCTATTTCTGCATCTATGATGTGATTTTTCAAACATTTATTTCATTCCTCCTTGTAAAAGTGTCCTTGTATACAATTCAAACACTGTGAAGGAGCATAAAGTAAAAAACAAACAGGCTGGGCACGGTGCCTCATGCCTGTAGTCCCAGCTACTGGGGAGACTGAGGCAGGAGAATGGCATGAACCTGGGAGGTGGAGCTTGCAGTGAGCCGAGATCGCGCCACTGCACTCCAGTCTGGGCGACAGAGCGACACTCCTTCTCAAAAAACAAAACAAAACAAAAACAAAACAAGACCAAAAAAACCCCAAAAAACAGCCATGCATAGGTCCACTGGAGTCACACAGAACACATATTCAGGATACTCAGAGGAAACACAGACAGAGATGGAGAGTCAGAAATGAGTAATTGAAGGAGTACTGCAAATTTCTCCTTCCCTTCTCCTCAGTGAACACACAGTTCCAAGGAGGTCCAAGAAGGGAGGCATGGACCTGCGGGTTTCCAGGAACTGATACCAACCGAGGGATGCTCTAGCCTTTACAACACAGTGGGTGTCTTTTATGTAGCATGGCCCCGAAGTGCAGTCTAATCATTACTTTATCTGGTGCTCCGTGGAAGCACCAGAAATGTGCTTCAATATTGGAGGAAAACATTGAGAAAATGGTGGAGCTTTGTACTGTCTTTTGTAGAAAGGGTAATTTTCACCTTATGCACCGCACCCCCCTTTTTTTTGAGACAGAGTCTTGCTCTGTTGCCCAGGCTGCCAGGCTAGAGTGCAATGGTACAATCTTGTCGCACTGCAACATGTGCCCCCCAGGTTCAAGTGATCCTCCTGCCTCAGCCTCTTGAGTAGCTGGAACTATAAGCATGTGCCACCACACCTGGCTAAGTTATGCCCCTTTTTGTTTTATCCGCAGACTTTAGAGCCAAATCTCAGGGTAACATACAATCTGTCTTCCTTCCTTCCTCCCTTCCTTCCTTCTTTCATTCTTTCTCCCTCACTCGCTCACTCCTTCCCTCCCTTTCTTTCTTCTTCATTCCTTCTTCCTCACTCACTCCCTTCCTCCCTTGCTTCCTTCTCTCATTCCTTCTTCCTCCCTCCCTCCCTCCCTTTTCCCCTTTCTTTATTCTCTCTTTCCTTCCATCATGCTTTCTGTAAGACTGAAGGGATCATACTATGCATATCATTTGACACTTAGTTTTTTTCAAGATGGAAAATATCTGGACGTATTTTTCCATCAACCTGGAGTAGTCTATAGTATTAAAGGTTATTAAACCAGCCCCGGTTACCATACGAAAGTGTTGCAAAGTCTTGGCACACATGTCTCTGCATGGTTGCTCAGTTGCTTCAAGTTCCTTGAAGTGGGTTGCTGGGTCAAAGGGGGTGCACATTTTAATTTGCCAAATTGCTGGATTGCCTTGCAAATACATACCACTGTATACTTCGGTGTGTGTTCATTTTTATCTCCATAAGGCATCATATAAGAGAGCTCTCGGCCGGGCGCGGTGGCTCACACCTGTAATCCCAGCACTTTGGGAGGCCGAGTCGGGCGGATCACGAGGTCAGGAGACCGAGGCCATCCTGGCTAACACAGTGAAACCCCGTCTCTACTAAAAAAAAATAAAAAAAAAACTAGCCGGGCGAGGTGGCAGGAGGCTGAGGCAGGAGAATGGCATAAACCTGAGAGGCGGAGCTTGCAGTGAGCCAAGATCGCGCTACTGCACTCCAGCCTGGGTGACAGAGTGAGACTCCATCTCAAAAAAAAAAAAAAAAAAAACAAAACAAAAAAAAAACCGAGCGCTCTCCTTCTGCATTTCACTTAGTTTTCTGGAAAAGTCAAAGTCAGTCAAGGTCGGGAAAGAAGAGGATCGGGGAAGGCTTCCAAGAGGAGGTCACTTTTCAACCAGACCTTGAAGGATGGCATGGTATTCAGAGAAACAGACAAAGGACATTCCAGGTAGAGGCTGGAATATGGAGTCAAAGACATTCATGGAGCTTGATCAAGGTGGGGAGATGGTTCATTATTCCTTGGCCATAATGTTCTGTAGACCACAGCCCACCGCAGGGCAGACTTAGATACTTGAACAAAATACATCAAGACAGACAGATAAGCAATTACATTCCAACAGGGAGAAACAGACAATAAACAGAAAATAAAGTCAACTGGATGGCATGTTAGATGGAGATAAGTGTTATGGGGAATAAAAATCAGGGATGGGAGATGGGAATGTGCATGGGGAGTGGAAGGGGCCGCCGTGTTAAACAAGGTGACCAGAGAAGGCCTCATGAGAGAGTGGCCTCTGATAATGACCCATAGCAGGTGAAGGAAGGAGCCTTCCAGATTTCTGGGGAAAGAGCATTGCAGGGAGAGGCCAGCAAGGACAAAGGGCCTAAGGTGGGAGAGTCCTCAGTGAGTTAGAGGAAGAGCAAGGAGGCCTCATGGCCAGAACAGAGTGAGAGAGGGGACAAAGGGGACAAGAGAGCTGAGGTCCTAAGGCCCTGGGGGCTGAATGCCTGAATGCTGTCAGGCTCTGTGACTTGCTCGACTTGTTTGGTTTGGGCTATTTTTTAGAGTAAGATGAGAAACTATTGAGAGGTTTTTAAGAGAGGAGTGACACACTCACAAGTGGTTCAAGGAGATCCTTCTGGGTAAAAGAGAGATGAGGACCAAAAGGAGGCCAATTCAAAGATTACTGGCATCATGCAGGTAACTTGGGCCAAGGTGAAGCAGTCACGGTGGAGGAAAATGACCGTATTTTGAAGGTAGAGGCTTTAGGATTTGCTCATGGATTGGGTGTGAGGTGTGAAAGATGAGGAAGCATCAAGATAGCCGCAGGGTTTTGACCTGATGCTGCCATTAACTGAAGTAGGACTTAGTTTGGAGCTGGGGAAGAGATTTAAGGGCTCAGTTACAGATATAGTGTGTGATTCCATTGGACATCAGAGTACAGATATCGAGCAAGCAGTTGGACATGTTAGAACAAATTCAGAACAAATTCAGGGAGAGGTCAGGGCTAGAAATATAAACAGATGAGTCATCAGCATATAGATAGTGTTAAGAGTCATTAGGCGACATGAGGTTACTAAAGGAATGAGTATGGACAGAAAAAGAGAAAAGGTCTGAGAGCTGACCCCTGAGACACTTCGCTGTTACAAAGTCAGGAAGGCAGGGGAGAATCTATGATGGAGACTAAGGGAGAGCAGCCAGCAAGATAGGAGGTTGGGTCCTAAAGGCCAAAAGACACGAATATTTGACAGAAGAGTGCGTGATTAAATACTGCTGCTAGCAATTCGCGATTGCAAAAATATGGAACCAGCCCAAATGCCCATTAATCTGTGAGATTAATGGATAAAAATCTGTGAGAGAGATATATATATATGTGTGTGTGTGTGTATATATATGTGTGTATACACACACACACCGTGGCATACTACTTAGCCATAAAAAGGAATAAAATAATGGCATTTGCAACAACCTGAATGGAATTGGAAACCATTATTCTAAGTGAAGTAACTCAGGAATAGAAAACCAAACATCGTGTGTTCTTATTCATAAGTAGGAGCTAAGCTATGAGAATGCAAAGGCATAGTAAGAATGATACAATGGGCCACATGTAGTGGCTCACACCTGTAATCCTAGTGCTTTGGGAGGCCAAAGCAGGTGGATCACCTGAGGCCAGGAGTTCAAGACCAGCCTGGCCAACATGGCAAAACCCTGTCTCTATTAAAAATACAAAAATTAGCTAGGCATGATGGGACACACCTGTAGTCCCAGGTACATGGAGGGCTGAGACACGAGAATCCCTTGAACCAGGAGGCAGAGGTTGTGGTGAGCTGAGATGGCACCACTGCACTCTAACCTGGGTGATAGAGCAGGCTCTGTCTCAAAAAAAAAAAAAAAAAAAAGAGAGAGAATTATACAACGGACTTTGGGGAGTCAGGAGGAAAGGGTGGGAGGGGTTGAGGGATAAAAGACTCCAAATTAGGCTGGGCACGGTGGCTCATGCCTGTAATTCCAGCACTTTGGGAGGCCGAGGCGGGCGATTACGAAGTCAGGAGATTGAGACCATCCTGGCTAACACGGTGAAATCCCATCTCTACTAAAAACACAAAAACTTAGCCGGGGTTAGTGGCCGGCGCCTGTAGTCCCAGCTACTAGGGAGGCTAAGGCAGGAGAATGGTGTTAACCCGGGAGGCGGAGCTTGCAGTGAGCCAAGATCGTGCCATTGCACTCCAGCCTGGGCCACAGAGCGAGACGCTGTCTCAAAAAAAAAAAAAAAAAAGACTACAAATTGAGTACAGTGTATACTGCTCGGGTGATAGGTGCACCAAAATCTCAGATATCACCACTAAAGGACTTATTCATGTAACCAGACACCTCCTGTTCCCCAAAAATCTATGGGAATAAAAAATAATAAATAAATAAATGCTGCTGTCAGGTCAGGAAAGACAAGGACTAAAACACCGACCACTTGATTTTCCCCTGAAAATGATTTATTACTTTTAACCAAGTGCTGGTCAAGTCTCCCTGGCCTTGGATGGAAGGCATGTCAATTGCACATCATCAGCCAAGTACTGACTGGATGGTTTCACTTGCAAAGGGGAAATCTTACCTGCACGTCCTAAGGTGGGATTTCTGACAGAAGGAAGAGCACACATTAGGTGAAGAATTCTAGACTGGGAAGGAATGGAGTCCGATGGCATGGGCACCAGTCTTGGTTGATCTGCTTGCTCCCTGTGTGACCTTAAGACCCCCTGTAGCTCTCAGCATCTTCACATGCAATATGGTGGGTGGTGAGCAGAGCAGCGTTCTCTGAGAGGCTTTTCATAGTCTCTCCTCAAGTCTAAAATTCAAAGACATTTCCCTCTCTCAGTCAGGGATGGCTGTATAATTTGCAGGATTCCTTTTTCAAAATGTGCAGTGTGTCGAGTGAGGGAAGGATGCTGTTAAAGATACTAAATATAAAGCTTTTTCCTTTCTTCCACTATCTCTCTCCTGACTTGTCATAGTGTTTTTTTAATTGCTATTTAATATCATTCTAGGTAAAATAAATAAATGAAATTTTACATTATCAGCATGGATTTTACCATTTACTTTTACATTGTGCAATGCAAAATTTTAAATGCAAATATGAAAACGTGGAACTCCTAAGCAGAATCAACAAAATTACACAATTCATATTTCATAGATCCTATATGCTGTATTAGTCAGTTCTCACACTGCTAATAAAGACATATCCAAGACTGGGTAACTTATAGAGAAAAAGAGGTTTAATGGACTTACAGTTTCACGTGGCTGGGGAGGCCTTACAATCATGGCAGAGGGCAAAAGGCACATCTTACATGGTGGCAGCAAGAGAAAATGAGAGCCAAGCAAAAGGGGTTTCCTCTTATACAACCATCAGATCTCGTGAGACTTATTTATGACCATGAGAACAGTATGCAGGAAACCACTCCCATGATTCAAGGATCTCCCACTGGGTCCCTCCCACAACACTTGGGAATTATGGGAGCTACAATTCAAGATGAGATTTGGGTGAAGACACATGCATATGTATTTCCTGACCAAATGCATATCACATGCATATGTATTTCCTGATCAAATGCATATCACATGCATATGTATTTCCTTCTGACCTGAATAGTCCAAATACTGCACAAAACTAACTCTACTGTTTTTATTTCACTTTTTGATGCACACACATTCTTCCAACCCCCTCTACTTGAGGCTTACTGTTGAATAAGGAAGGACTAAAAGAAAAAGAACTATGAATTGGCCTACCATTTTCTTTTGTTCTGTGTCATCATATTCAGTATAAATTGTTGGCTAGTAAGAAGGAATATGAGGGAGTCTCTTGGTTGTTTGTTTGCTTTTCTTAGAATGTGATGAGTGTCTTCCTCATCTGTAAAATGGGGATACTTTGTAAGGCAATTTTAAAACAGAAAATTCATTTATCCGCTCATGTAATTCTATACCAAGCACAGTGCTTGGAGCACATATGTGGTCAGTAAATATTTTAAATGCTAAGAATTCAGTGTGGCTCAAGTCGGGAGGATGCTGAGGTACATAATAAAAATAACAGCTTAGCAGTAACTGAGTATTTACTATGTGCCAGGCATCATGCTAATGCTATTGTATTAACTCATTTCCTCTTAATGACAGCCTTATGAAGTGGGTATTTTTATTATCCCCATTTTACAGATGAGGAACTTGGAAAGGTCAGTAACTTGGCCAGAGCCCCACAGCCAGTTAAGTGGCATATCTGGGACTCAGGCCCAGGTCAGTAAGACGCCAAAGCACGTGCTTTGGAACACTAACTATATTGGTCCCATAGTTACTTGGTAATAAAATCAAAGTAGTCAAAGAGCTGCAGAGGGAAATGATGAGTTCCGTCTGGGGAATCCAAGAAAGGCACTGAGAAGGGAGCTGTGTGTACACGTCTGTAGCTCAGGAATGATGAACAGACTAGAGATAAGATTTGGGAGTCCTCAGCTGAATGATAGCCACTGAAACCATGAACATGGACATGAGATAAGACAAGAAAGCCCTGTAGAACTAAGGCATCTGAGAGCCAGGGAAGGAGAAAAGAATGCTGAAAAGGAGACATTACAGAGGTAGGAGTGGATGCTTAGGGGGAATACCTGGAAACCCATGAGCATTAATTTCACGTTAATTTCACTACACAGATGGCCAATCAGATGACAACTGCAAAAAGACCTTTAGATTTTGCACGTGACCCCACAGATGACGCTGGGTAAAACTGACTCCCTAGACTGGTAGATAAGAGGAAAGGGACAATGGAGAGATTTATAACTAAACTTGGTATGACTTTTCATCTGTCACATTCCATGGAAAAAAAGTATCCTTTGTCAAACTACATTTCCTGACTTGGAGGCTAAGAAAATTCAGTCGCTGCAGCAAGATGCAAGATGCAACTTGGCTGTGGACATTTGGCAAGCCACATACATCCCCTCTTGAGGCCTCAGTTTCCTCATCTGTACATAGAGTTATTGGATGAGACATACTCCAAGTTTTCTCCCAGATCCAAAATTCTATTCCCTTCCGTTCCAGATGCTCTTTGAGGATGTTGGTGTTGACAAGAAAGGTGGGGTGAAAGAGAAGGACCCCACTTGACCACAACAGGTACCCTTGTATCCTGTTCCCTCTCCATCTTATTTTCTCCACTGTGCTCTAAGGCAGTTGTGGAGCCAATGATGAAAACCACATGTTTCTGGGCAGCCCTGCTGTTGCACAATGCCGCCAAGGGGAGGGCAAAAAGAAAGAAAGAAAAAAAGTAAGTAAGAAAGGAAAGAAAAGAGCTTTGGAATTCTCAGCTTCCACAGACAATTCTCCCATTGATGTGCTGTGAGTCACGGCGGGCCGCCAGGCCATCATGGTTTCTGAATCACTTCCTTCAAGAGGGGCTCTCCACTTGTTCCCGGGCTGACTTTGACCAGGGCTGGAATGCAAGGAGGTTGGACCCTTTGAGTGGCTCTGACTGCCTTCCTCTTTGCTGGAGCCCCAGCGGGGAAGATGGAGGTGCTAGGCAGCAGGGCATAGGGGTCTGAATGGAGTTGAAGACAGCAGAGAAGCAGGTTGGACCTGCTTGTCCCAATTGGTGGACCCAATTCATGCCCCTCTCTCTCTCTCTGTTAGAGGTGCAAATGATATAAAATCCCAGATTAAAGGCCAAAGTTTTCTCTGGTGGACACTAGACTCAGCCAGATCCAGAATTTCTATCCTCTCCACCTTGACATCCTGGCTGATATGGACAAGGTTGACATCTTTTGAGCAGAGATAGGAAAGTTGATCCCAGCCATTTCTCCAATGGCTCACATTAGGGAACTTTGAACGGTGCTCTCAGTCTCCCATCTTGCAATTTCCATCTCTGAGGTCAAGGATGTTAGTGGACCAAGAAGCCCTCACCTGGGTGGTGGTCCTTAGGTGAGAGTCTGTTTTAAGTTCTTGCTTAAAATAAGCTTCATTTTTTTCAACCAAGAGCCGTATTCCTTACTCTGGGTCAGACTCTGTGTAGGCACCATGGATTCCAAGAGGAAATAGACATGGTGCCAACTGGACAAAAGAGAATGACAAGTAAATAAGTAATGAGGCAAATTTATCAGCAAACACAGACTTGGGGACAAGGGGAGCTCCAGAAGGCAGCCAGACCGGTTTGCTGGATGGAGCATTTAGCGCCATTTTCCTTTGCACAACCACCATTCCTTCCCCCGCAAGCCCCCTAACCCCAGGACTTTCCAGAAGATCAATATGAATGGGCCCTGGATTAGAGATGAAGTGGTCTCTCCCCTCCACCAACACAAGGTGCTGTTTCTCAATGACCCCAGATGTTAGGGAATATGCTAGAATGCCGCCACCTGGTGGGCGCACAGAGCCGTGTCCACTTCGCAACTCTGCTGCATCTGGGGCAAGTGTCAGAGACGCGTTGACCCGGAAGCCATGCCCAAAAGAAACCAGGTTTGACACGGCTACTTATTTGACTAATGTTATAGGTAGCGAGGAAAAGGAGCATCTTTACCTTTTAAGGAGTCCGCCTGTTCACATTCAGCTGGCTGTCTCCTCTTAAGGAGGTGGACTTGGAGGAAAAGTTAGTTTAGAGCAGGCACCATATCTTACATCTTCTCTATGCCTCTCATAGCCTCTAGCAGCAGATCCAGGAGGTAATGGGTGCTCAGAGAATGGATGTTCAATAGGATCAGTTACTGAATATGACCAGCCAGAACAATAGCAAGGGTTCTCTCTATCTTGCACCCCCATATCTCCTAGCACCATGCCTGACTCTACAAATATACATTGAACCATTGAATAAAATTAGACTCTCAGAAGTAAAGGTTCTGGAAACAGCAAACTTGATTTGCTGGAGGACAGTTTAGGTGTTGTCTGTATTGTCTAGTACAGCCTTCTTCCTCTCAGATGCATCCCAGGAAGACACAGTGACTTCACCAAAGTCACACAGCCACTCTTTAGAACGGGGACTGGTGGGCGGGTCAACTTGCCACCTGGCTGCCTGGCAGAATCAGCCCATGCATATATGAGAAACAAGGCAGGCAGCAAAGAAAGTAGGGGGGAGGCATTTGTCCAGGGTCACACCCAGTGGAAGAGATTCCCTCTGAGAATATCTGAAACACCTTTTCAAGGACTCTAATACTACCCTGTGCTCCTAGGGTGAAAAGAAACACCAGCTAGTGCATTAAATAAAGAGGTAAAGAATGTCTAGCAATCCAAGGAAAACAGAGCCAAATGCAGTTACTGGGGGCACAGAATGTGACATGGGAGGTACCAGTCATGTCATAGGTCCAGGTGGAGCTCTTGTCTCCCAGGAAGAATTTGTGGAATACTATAACGCATGTTCTGAAGGTGAGCTCCAGAGTGGGTGATGGTTACCCATATGGAAAAAGCAGTCTGGCTTACATGTAACAAGGGATCTGGCTACCTCCCCAGCACATTCTTCATGGCTTTATTCTCTCTCTCAATTTACCCTCTTTCCTGTGCCACACAGACCTTTCTAACACTCCCCTGCTTAGACCATCAAAGGCTCCCTATTGCCTCTTAGATAAAATCTAAATACCTTCCCTTATCATCACCCCACTCCAACTCTCTAGCCATATACTTCATCCCTTCCTGCCTAGCCCTTACCACCTTGATTACACTGTTGGACTCTTGTCCCTCAAGTGGGTTCCAGTCCTGGCTCCACCACTTGCTCTCGTTGTGACCCTAAGGAAATCACTTAATTCTCTGTGCCTTCACTTCCTCATCTATGAAATGGAGTTCACACTAGCATCTACCAGATGGGGCAGTTGTGAGAACTGATTTGAGCTCAGTATACGAAGTCCTCCGAACAGCACCTGGCATGTGGTATGCCCGCAATGTATGTTAGCAATCATTCCTGTTACTATCGCTACATACAACATGTCTCCTCATGCCCCCATCCTTTCACACATGTTCTCTGTGCCTGAAATGTCCTTTCTCTGCCTTCTCCCTGAGATGGACAACGGCTCATTCTTCAAGTTCCAGCTCAATGTCCCCTTTTTAGCAGTAGGGAAGTTATCCTCATCTTTGTACACATACCGACCCCATGTTCACCCTAAATCCCTTGTCACCCTGATCATCCTCACTCATCCAATGGGGGTGTAATAGCATCTGTTGATCATGGTACCTGCCTGAAATGCCTTGTGGATGGAATGGGCGACTCCACAGTCATCCTGTAGCCTGTGTAAATTACAAAGCCTTCAACGAGCATGAGAGATGTGTATTTTTGCCATCATGGAAGGGCTGTTGACTCTCCAACTTCTAACCTGCACAAGGTAGGGTCAGCATGTCCCTCACTGACCCAAGGCCCAGTCTCCAGGAGGACCCCTGCCTCTCACAGACACCAGCTCACTCTGCAGCCTGCTGAGCCACACTTGCTTCTCTCGCCCATCCACCCGAAAGTGGGGTTGGGGGAAGTCAGACACCAGCTATGAGCATGGAGCACTGCCAGCAGAGCCCACTCAGGGATTTCCCACCTGCTTGTCCCCGACCACCTTCCTTTGGTTTCTCCTGGGCTCTGTTGGTGGGGGGCGGTCGGCAGCCCCACTGCCCTCACCCTAGGCTCTGCCTTTATTCTCCCTCTGCCTCACTTGGCCTGTTCACAGTAAGAACAGAAAGGTTGCCTCCCGACTCCCGGCCCACCCTCCTTTTTTCTCTGTCCTCCCCCTCAGCTTGCTTTAACGTCCTTAAATCCATCCCAGAGGCTTTCACAAGGCTTCCTTCATCCACTCATCAAGCACTGTGTGAGGCACTTACTCTCCGCAGGGCCCTGAGGGAGATTCAGGATGAATAAGATGCAAACACTGTCCTAAGAAGACAGGAGGAGAGACGAGTGTTTGTTGCAGGTGCCAACATAATGCCAGAGACCTAGGGTGGCAGGGGGTGATTGTCTTCTGACATGGTCCTTGGCCAGTCTCCACTGGGAGGCTGTAGTTCTGCACTTTGGTTGTACCTGGCTGGCATGCATGGAGGAGAGGCTGCTGGCCTGATCCTGTCCCAACATTCAGCTGATGAGTGACATTGGAGCCCAGTTCGTGACTGCTGTGTCCTTTGAGCATAGGTAAGGCTCCGGGGAGCACAATCTGCAGCCCTTCTTACCAAGCCCTGCCTTGTTCTCAGAGTGATGCCACCTTCGCTGTGGTCTGCCTGGGCAGCCTGAATGCGAGTGGCCCCTGGTCGAAGGCCATTTGGCACTGGGGCAATAACCTTCCTCGGCCAGCACCCCAGTCTGAGTCTCAGCTAACTTCTGTGTCTCTCTCAGTGGCTTATGGGAGCCTCTGGTTCCCTTCCACGTCAGACAAGAAGGAGGGTGGCGCAGGAGGGCAAATGCAGAGTCTCTCAGGCTGAGACTGATGTCGAGTAGGGAGGGAGGGGGACACCTAGGAGGGGATCTCTTCCCAGAATTCCAAGCCAGAATGGGGTAGAAACTCCCCACCCACCTTACCAGCTTTCTCCTCCACCTAACAAGGTGCCCTTGGCTAATGCTTTAGCTCAGAGACCTCATGGACACAGAGGCTTCTCGCTTCTCTTTCCCTCTCTCCCTGTCTCCCTCCCACAATGCCCTGCAGTGAAAGGCTTTCTTCTTCGTCTTCTCTGGTATGGACGTCCCTACATCCCATCTTCCTCCTATGGGCATTCAGCCTCCTGCTCAGCCTGAATAGAAGAGATAGCTGCTCTATCCAGTAAAAGAAAAAACAAACAAGCAAAAAAAAAAAAACAAAAACAAAAACCTATGTCCTGCTCCCTCTAAGTCAGTAGCAGCTAAAATAATTTAGAAATTCTGATTTTGCTTATGACAAGTCTCCTTTTACAGACTCAAAAACTCCTACTCTGAATGTTAAACATTGACTATCGATCCGCTACCACTCTTCGCTTTGCTAACACCTCAAACCTCAACCTTCCCGAGACAAGCACATGCTGGGCAAGTAGCAGAAAGTTTCCATCCAAGGAGATGCACAGGAGAGCTCTTTCTGTATCATGTTTCAAAACCACTATCCTGATACAGCAACTCACATTTATTGAGCATTTACCACGAACTAAGCACTTGATATACAGCATGTCACTTAATCCTTTCAACAGTCTATAAGATGGATTATGTTACTTTTTCCAATTTACGAATGAGCAAACTGAGGCTTGTTTAGCCTAGGGTCAAGCAGCAAGTATGTGAGAGAGTCAGAAATGGAGAAATGGAGCACAACGTATTTGACTCGTAACCACTGTGCCAAAAGGGGATGTGAGACCTGCCCTGCAGAAATTTGCAGGATGGAAGGATATACTTGTGACACAGCACACAGTAGTGTTATGAGCCATTCAAAACCCCTTGCTAAAGGAAGGTCACTTACTGGTTTGTGTGCATCTACCACACAGCAGACATTCCCAGAGACCATATCCTCTCATTTTCACAACAATCCTGCACCCCCGTTTTACAAGCAGGGTGGGTGACTGGGCTTAGGGAGATTAGTTCTCCAATGGTCATAAAGTGATGAAGCTGGGGTTTTGTCTTAGTCTAGTGATTGCCAACCTTTTTGGCACCAGGGATCAGTTTTGTGGAAGAGAATTTTTCCACTGACCAGGGATGGGGAGGGATGGTTTCAGGATGACTCAAGCACATTACATTTATTGTGCACCTTATTTCTATTATTATTACATCACAATATGTAATGAAATAATTATAGAATTCACCCTAATGTAGAATCAGTGGGAGCCCTGAGCTTGTTTTCCTGCAGCTAGATGGACCCATCTGGGGGTGATGGGAGACAATGACAGATCATCAGACATTAGATTCTAATAAGGAGCACACAAGCTAGATCCCTCGCATGTGCGGTTCACAATAGGGTTCACACTTCTATGAGAATCTAATGCCGCTACTGATCTAACAGGAGGCAGAGCCCTGGTGGTAATACGAGCAATGAGGAGTGGCTATAAATACAGATGAAGCTTCACTGGCTCATCTGCTGCTCACCTCCTGCTGTGCGGCCCGGTTCCTAACAGGTCCCACGTTGGTTCAAGGCCACAGTCTGTGGCCAAGGGGTTAGAGACCCCTGTCTTAGTCCATTCCTGCTGCTGTGACAAAATAACCTCAGACGGGGTCATTTATAAAAAATAGAAATGTATTTCATAGTTCTGGAGGCTGGGAAGTCCAAGTTCAAGGCGCTAACAGATTCAGTGTCTGGTGAGGACGCTCTGCTTCAAAGAGGGCACTACCTGCTGTGTCACCACGCAGCAGAAGCAGCATAAAAGAAACAAACGCTGTGTCTTCACATAGCATGAGACATGGAAGAGCCAAGCAGCTCTCTGAAGCCTCCCAAAGGCCCCACCTCTTCATACCATCACCTTGGGGTTTAAGTTACAACATATAAATTTGGAGGGACACATCCATTCAAACCATAGTGGCTTTGAGCCCAGGTCATGTGATTTCAAGGCTTAATTTCTTCCATTATTCTATGTTTGCCCTGTAGCTTAGGGGAAAGTGCATGAGGCTTCCTTTCCTGCTCTAGATGAGCTGACAACAGTAGAAGAAATGCGACATAAACACAAGTAACTACAAAAGGACGTAGAACATGGTAAATGTCAGGAGAGAAAGGGACAAGCACCTAGAATATCAAGGGGTGGAGCCTGGCCCCAGCCCAGAGTAGCAGCAGCAAATGGCTGCCAAAGATGTGGGACGGGGCTAGGCAGGCATGCTGGGAAGCATGTATGGGAGACAGTGACAGATCATCAGACATTACATTCTCATAAGGAGCGTTCAACCTAGATCCCTCACATGCGTGGTTCACAATAGGGTTCACACTTCTATGAGAATCCCTGAGCTGAATATGGACATGAACGGGATCTCAGTGTGGACAGAGACTGAAGTACCTCCAAGAGTGACCCAGCCAGAGCAAAGGCTCTGAGCCAGGTAGGCAGCGGACAAGCTGTCCTGTCTGGGTGGCATGTAGGGGACACAAAAAGGACCAGCCGAAGATAAGGCTGGGGCCAGGCCACAGGAGGCTTTGGAGGCAGAGCCAAGGAACTTGATCTGGGGGTCACTTGGGGAGGTCACCATTGACAAGTTTATGTTTTACAATCAGGTGTGACTGGAGCCAGGCTCTGAGAAGAGGGATGTGGCAGAGTGAGCAGGCTGGAGTTGAGAGTAGTAGTACAGCCCAGATAAGAAAAACAGCCAGGACCAAGGAACTGAGAAAGTGGAGGGAGGGGAGTGGGTGTCAGAGTAGGGTGGAGGAATTGAAACAGACACAAAGGGCTTTAGCAACCTGGCAGTCCAGGCTGCTCTGGGCTGACTTACCTGGTTGCTGTGTCCTCTCTTAACTCTCAGGCCTAGGCCTAGCAGGAGACACCTTGGGCACCACAGGCCCCAGTGTGGGTACTGGGACCCGGCATTATAGCAGGAAGATCTTCTGCTGCCCCTGGTCCAGGTAAGCAGAGAACGTGTTGGGGTCAAGGCCAGGCAGGAACTAACAATGCAGTGTCACGTGTTCACAGAACACACCTACCTCTTCCGTTCTGTCAGCCAGAGTTCAGACTTCAAAAGGCTGGAAAGGAAGCAGAGAGAGAGAGGAGATACCTTTATTGGGCATTCGTTCTAATCCTCACTACCCAATCAGAAAAGGCTCTGTATGTAGAGTTTAAAAATTGAGAATCAGAGGCCAGGCGCGGTGGCTCAGGCCTGTAATCCCAGCACTTTGGGAGGCCGAGGTGGGCGGATCACGAGGTCAGGAGATCGAGACCATCATGGCTAACATGGTGAAACCCGTCTCTACTAAAAATACAAAAAATTAGCCGGGCGTAGTGGCGGGCGCCTGTAGTCCCAGCTACTCGGGAGGCTGAGGCGGGAGAATGGCGGGAACCCGGGAGGTGGAGCTTGCAGTGAGCCGAGATCGCGCTACTGCACTCCAGCCTGGGCGACAGAGCGAGACTCCCTCAAAAAAAAAAAAATTGAGATTCAGAGAAGTTGAACCATTTTCTCGAAGTTACAAAGCTACTAAATGGCTGTGAGAATTGGGACCCAAGTCTTCCTCATCCTGTTGACTCAACACACTGTCTTCCCCAGAGCCATGTCCCACCTCCTGACCCCCAACCTTTCACCTCCGGCATCTCCTGATTGGAAGCTGGCTGCCATGTGTGAGCAAACTAAAATTCTCCTCCAAAGGAAGCCTCCACAGAAATACACCATGGGCCTGGTCCCTGCAGCCCCTCCCATAAGGGACACTGACTCTGGGTTTGGTTGGAAATAAAGTCCTAGCATTTTTTTTCTTACCTTGTTTTCTAACCTCTTCTTCATGTTTTTCTTGTGAACCATTTTTGTTTGTTTCATTTTTGGTTGGCAGCACAGGCCTTTGGTTTTAAAGGTAAGGCAGACATCAACTTCAGAAAATAACTTGATAGGGATTTTTTAGCCATCATTTTGCCATTGATAAAAAATTCTAAAGCCTAAGGGGCATCATCTTGGCCCATCATACCTTTTTTTTTTTCTTTTAAGGAAAGAGGGAGAAAACGTGTCCAGTTTGGGAAAAACAGTGATGGAAAAGCAATTTGATAACTGATGATTTTCTGAGCGCTTCAGCCTCAAGGAAACCAACAGCTGCAACATATTGGTTACATGGAAATCTTTAAGTCATTCTAGGAAGAAATTACAAATGCATGTGCCTGTGTATAGATGGTAGACATGTGTTTACATATGGAGCAAAGCACCCACAGAGGGAATTGCTTTAATATTGCCTCTAGGCCAAGAGAAGAAAAAAACACGTGCAATGAAAGCCCCATTGCAAGAGATGATTCTGAACATTAAATTCCTATTTACTATGAGGTTTGAACTGAAAACGTAGGGAGAAGTCATCTTTTCCTTGACACCTAAGCTCATAGGGATTTTCCTTAGGGAGAGGCAATTCTGTGGGGGTGGACCCCAGCCTGGACAGGGTTGTCAGGACCTCTCGGTTCTGATCTCCTCTCTGCCGCTAACTAGGGAGTGACGCTGAGGAAGTTTCCCTCCCTTTGGGCATCAGTTTCTCAAAGGGGGTTTGACAAAAGGGTCTCTGACATCACTTCCTGCTCTGACATTCTGTGGATGTGCGTTAAGTTTTTATAGCATAAATTCCAAGGAACTGAGCTTCTGCTTCATAGAATTGAGCTGCTGGGCCCCCAACCCCCACCAGAAAGTGTTTCCTTTAGTAAAATTAGATTTTTATATAATCTCATTTGCCTAGTTGCATATAACCATCTGCATTCAAGACTTCGTTAGGCCTCAAACCCAGCTCGCCACTTCAGGTGATGAAAGCAAAACAATTAGCCACTTCCAACAAAGGTACTTGCATCGCAGACTTAGGTGTGGGAAGGATGCCGTTAGCGTGGAAGGGCTGAAGCATGTCATGGCTCATGGAACAAAGAACCTGCTTGGCTTGAGAATCCATACGAGTTCTGTTCCTGGGCCATGGGGAAATCTGGCTGACTGTTCTACATTGAGTGTGTGCATTTTGGTGGGGACTAGCAGAGAGGAGATGGCAGAAGTTGGTTGTTGATAGACCCAGTTTAATTATTTTGATGACCCTACAGGTGAATACAATTATCATCTCTGTCTCAACCTAGTGGCAGAGTCTGGAATCAAACCAGTCCTCTTAAATTCCAGTGAGCGTGCTCTGAACCATGACACTCTAATGCAGAGCCTCTCAACTCTGGCACTATTAACATTTTGGATAGGCTAATTCTTTGTTGCAGGAGACTAGCTTGCGCCTTCTAGGATGTTTAGATGCATCCCTGGCTTCTACCTGCTAGTTGCCAGTAGCAATTGTGAAAACCAAGAATGTCTCCAGACATTGACTCACGGTGGAACCACACTGCTCTAATGTCAGCCCAAGTGAGGAGGAGGAAAGGGCAGCTACGAGGCCCATATGTCACTATCCCCTAATGTGAATCTGAAGGATCAACCCAGAGATGGAGTTGGCTGCAGCATCAGTAGTTTGGAAAGCAGGGTGCAGGTTAGGAACATGGCAAACTGAGATGTCTAAAGCATCTTCTTATGATGAGATATCATGCATGGCTGAGTTGACGTATGTCTGAGCAAGCACGGGCCATCCTCAGGTTAAAGCGTTTTCATTCATTCGTTGAAAGCCTTCAAGCATGCGTCGAAGGCTTGCTGACTTCCCAGCGCTGAGCTGGCCCTGGGGGAGCCAGAGGAACAATCCCACCCCAACTGCGTGCTCCAGAAGCATGCATACCATGGAGAGAGGCAGGAATGTTAGCCACAGCACTGAAAATAACAACCCTACCCAGAGGCCAGCTGGGGACCTCCTGACTCGAGGAAAATTCCCTGGCCTTCCTCAGATTCTTGCTAATCACTGATGGGCTCATCTTCTTCTGAACCTTCTTTGGGGCACTGTCTCCCTCATGGCCATCACCCCACATGCATCAATGCTGGCATCAAGTTCAGTGGCTTCTCCTTCTCCCACCACAAGCGAAAATGTCTCCCACCAAAAGCAGTGTGTTTAGTAGGCTCACTGACCTCTTTAGTGAGGTCCCAAGAAGGGAGTCTTATCTCACAATACAGAGCCCTTGTCTGTCTTGATGGCCTTCTGTGCTCTTCCATCTCTACTCCTCAGACCTCTTACAGTTGGCCAAGATCTCCAATTTCTTCTCCCCAGTCCCTGCCACCCATGAGGCCTTGACTGCAGCTGACCCCAGACCCTCAAGAGACTAATCTTCTATTCCAATGGCTAAGTATGTTCCCCACAAAGACTTTCCTCTCTAAGGAGGACTGGGAAAGCAGCTGTTATAAGGTAATAAAATAAAATTCATATCAGCATAAGAATACTTGATATTGTAATATTTTTGGCCCACTCTAATACTGGGCCATAAGCTAAGTGCTTGGCATGCATTATCTCATTTAATAAGAGACTCGGATCATCACAGCGCTGTACAGTAAACACGCGGCATAGTGACTCAGAGCGTACTCTCTGAAATTAGAGTTCCAGCCCCGCCTCTGACCAGCTGTGTGAGCCTGGGCTTTTTTTAGTTTCTATCTCTGGGCCTCTGTTTTTCTCCTTCGTTTGTGTAATGGAAAAGACTAGGAGCATCTTCTGCTTAGGATTCTTGTGAAGATTGAGAGGACCAGTAAAAGTGTAAAGTGGCCTGCCATCCCAGCACTTAGGGAGACCGAAACGAGGGGATCGCTTGAGCCCGGGAGTTTGAGACCAGCCAGGGCAACATGGTGAAACTCCATCTCCATAAAAATGCAAAAATTAGCCAGGCATGGAGGTACACACCTGTGGTACCAGCTACTCGGGAGGCTGAGGTGGGAGGATTGCTTGAGTCTGGGAGGCAGAGGTTGCAGTGAGCCGTGATCGCACCACTGCACTCCAGCCTGGGTGATAGAGTGAGACTCTGTCTTAAAAAAAAAAAAAAAAAAAGAGAGAAAGAAAGAAAGTGTAAGGAGCTAGAATAGTGTCTGGCAATTAGTACATGCTCAGTGAATGCTGGCCATTGTCATAATTGTTGGAGAATGAATAGAAAAATTTGAGATTGCGTCTGTCTTATGATGGGATAACTCACAGAGCGGGGAAACTTGAGGAAGAGTTCTAAAGCGTGAGTAAGAGTTCGCCTCCAGGAACATCTGATGCTCTGAATTTTATGAAATCAAAGCCTACTGGTCATGAGCCCCTTCTCAGCCTCATCAGCTTTTTCTCCTGGCTTTTTCCCCACTGATTTTCTCATTCCCACAAGGCCCAGTGAGACACTTGGGAAAATATTTTCCAAAATAAATTTCAAGTCATTATTTGTCCTAAACCACCCAATTCTGTGGCCCAGCCCTGTCTACTAATGTTACCGCCCTGTCCCTATTTAGACTGAGGTTTTATAACCGACCAACCCCTTACCAGGGCTTCCCTGTCCAGCCACCCCCTGCCTGAGTCATCTTGTGTTGTCACAATCCTAGATTTATGATGTTGGCTCTTGTGGTCTCAAAGATGACTCTAGATGGGACCAGCCTTGGGCCCAGCCGCGAAGCTAGTTTCATTGTGTTCCACCTCCCACCACCCCGTTCTTCCAGGGTGTATTAAGAAGAGCATGTTCTGGGAGTTGGAACAGGGTTGCCTCCAAGCTCAGCTGTTTCCTTTCTGTGTGATCTTGGACCAGGAGGGCTTTCTCCAAGTCTCCATTTCCTCATTAGTAAATGGGGATGTTTGAAGATGAAATTAAATAGACTATAAGAAAAGGCCTGTACCCAGTACGTACTAGGGGTCATTAACATCTATTGTCACAATTTTGAAACATAATACACCATCCCAAAGCTTGGCGGCTCAAAAAATAATTATTCTTGCTCTCACAGGTCAGATGGGAATCGGCTGCTCTCGGCCTGGCGCCGAGTAGACCAGCAAGCTAGCCAGGACGTGGCTAACTGCAGCAGTACAAGAGGGTCATACCCCAATGCACAAGCACAAATTTAAGCCACTGTTTGTGTCATGTTTGCTACCACTCCGTGGGCCAAAATAAGTGACATGACCAAGCCCAAAATTAGGGATAGGGAAGAATACTCCTCCTCTAGTGGAAGAAACCATCAAGTCACCTGGCAACAGGTATTGATACAGAGAGGGATGAAGAATTAGAAACGGT